TTTTACCATCTTGGTTTGTACAATTTATCCAAGATAGCACATCCCTGTATATTTCCAAAATATTGATTTTATAATTTCTATTGAGTTAACTTAATACAACCCTGTATATGTTTTAATATTGATTATTATAATTTCTATTGAAATAACTTAATATAACCCTGTATTTTTCTTAATATTGATTTTTATAATTTCTATTAAAATAACTTAATATAACCCTGTATATTTCTTAATATTGATTTTTATAATTTCTATTAAAATACTCAAAATTTCACCCATCCAAAACAGATGTTATCCTAAGTGTCTTTCGGGGTGTATGACCTGAAGGCCATGTGGTTTATTGGTTAAATTGATATTTTGTAGCAAATGTCAAGCCGACCTTAAACGAAACCGGGGTGGTATCTCAAAGAAGGTTAGATAAATCTTTTGACTCACCATTGAAAATACAGACATTAAATTTTGTACTAATTTCATCTCTCGTCGTGGAAGGCGTCGATGTAGGTACGTCGCAGGGTTGGGCGTTGAGGCGCCCATCGTCGAGACGCCCATCGTCGAGACGCCTAGCGTCGTGGTGGAAAGGAAGGTATTTAATATGGTATTGTATTGGGACAGACATACGGTAGAATTATGTAGGTGGTGCGGGACGTAATATTGTGAAGGAAATAATTATGGACGGCAAGCGTCGGAAATAAGGCGTGGGACGTTGAGCGTCTAAATGAGTGTACGGTAGGAAATACTTATATGGGGAGGAACGTGACAGCGTTCGAGATGTAGGGAGTAGGACGGCAGGACGTTGGGCGTCGAGACGTTGACACCTTCGGGGATAGGAGATATTGTAGGATAGACGTCGTTTAGGAAGAGCGTTATAGGAAAGGTACTGATTACTGAACTTGAAATATAACTGAATACAAATAATTAAAAATGAATGATCTCGTCAAATAGTTAAAATTGAATGACTCCAGCTCATTTTTGTCTGGCTTTTTATAGTAAAAGTTTTAATGGCTTTGTGACGTCTCTATGTCTTTGCTTCTCATAGAAATACGGTGGGTGCTGGGGTGGGTTATTTATTATGTGCCTTGAAAGTTTTGTGTATCGAAATATTGTCGATATCGGTCTGAACATCGAAACTAAAAAAATAAGCGAGTTAAGTATTTCAACGATAATTACTTCGTAAACAGAAATACGCTTTATGGTATTTTCTTTGGGCTGGTTCTTGGACGTGGTTATAGCTATTATTTATTAGGTGTTTTAAATAAGATTTAATTTTCTGGGATATTTTTCGTTAAATGAAGCATTTTGAATTTAAAAGAATGTAATATTGTATTTAATAAATGAAATTAATAAATTATTAAGGTACCTGGGTGCGGTAGGTTACAGTACTCAAAGACAAAAATATATCAATAATGAGAAGAAAGAAAAACAAAAGAGAAAATTAATACATAATAATATGAAGTATGACAGGGACATGACCTACAGATAGCTGAGAAAATAGTTATTTATTATACAAGGGAAAAAAGTTTTGTCTCTCTCCGCTTCACGTCGGAGATAACACAACCTCGAGCTAAAATCTAATATTTTCCCCTGTATAATACACAATTTTTTCTGTGACAAAAAAGATACAATTTAATATTGAAAAAAATATTCTAAAATATCTACCTTTACTTATGTGTGTTAGCAGGTAAACAAATTTTGTGTGATTACTCATTGTAATATAATGTAAAGAACATTGGCAGTCAAGAGTGGGGAGTGCGGGAAGTGATGGCGGTGGTAGCGAGCCGTCGACTGCACTCTTCCGGGCAAAACGAAATGATGGGTCGCCTTGAGTGCTATAGTGAAATCAAGCTGTTAGTTAATACTCACGCATTGTTCTGTTTGACTTAGTTATAGAAAATTGTTATTATGTGTATATATTTCCGGGTAAAAAGTACTCACTTTTTTCCCGGGAAACGGGTAAAAAGTAATTTCATAAAAAATGATATTTTGTTACCTGACAAGAGAGATAAAATGTCAAACTTTTTCTCGTCACAGAAAAAACACATTTTCCAAGAAGCACACATTCCCTCCATTAATTTAGGGTGACCATACATACGGGATTTCGCTGTATTGTAAAGCATTTTCAAAGTCTATCTAGCATTTCATCTTGTACAGCAAAACGCCGTATTTGTCCAGCAAAACGCCATTATTGTCCAGCAATGTAATAGGTACATAATTTTACTGTAACTTAACAAATAAGACTTTGGGATCTAAAAAAGAAGGTTTTCTGGTCCTCTACAATCTACATAATTTCTTATTAAAACTGAACGCTCTTTTACATTTTCCTGTTGCCTGGAAGTAACAAGGGACTGTCTTTTCTGTTACCTGGACACTGGCGAATGGCTGCAGACCAGTATTTGGACTCCGGTATCTTGAAAGATTACTTCCTAATGATCCTCCAATCCAGCTGATTTACTTCTATCTTCGGCATGGCTAGTTTCTGTACATTGAACTCCAGTACGTGTTCCCTTAAACTATGTAATGCTTCCCATACATCATAATAAGTGGATTGATCTCGGAAGGTGTTCTTCGTTATCAAATAGAAAAGATAACGCGACCCGACTTGAAGTTTCAATGCTTTTCCAGGGGCTGGTAACTGACATTGAAGTTCTAGCAGTTGACCAAACTTCTTACGGAACACATATGCCAGCCCTCGCGCGTCGTTGATGCTGGCGGAAGTACTATGGACCAGCGAGTAGTCTTTTGAAAGCGAGAGCAGATCTTGTTGCTCGGTCGTAACACCATATCTTGTTTTTCCAGTACCTCCATATGCATCCATAAATTCTTCAAAGACAAGGTCAGGTGTTTCTTGAAGTTTACTTTACTTCTTCATTATGGTGACCCTCAAATGGAGCCAGCCTGTTTTGATGCACTACCTTCGGTTTACCGTTTGGAATCTTACTTATACGGTAAATTACATCATTAATTTTATTCTTGATGAGGTACGGACCTTCCCAAGACCTTTGAAGCTTCGGAGAATAACCCTTTTGTCTTTTTGTGTTATGGAGCCAGACTTTTTCGCCTTCCTTGAAACATCCTTCTGTAGCTTGGGTATCGTACCGTTTCTTCATCCTGTCGCTGGCGATTTGAAGATGCGAGCGGACCAATTCATGCATATCGTCCATTCTTCTTCGTAACTGGATCACATAATCTTCACCAGCTACATCTTCTCCAGGTCGGCATCCAAACTCGAGGTCGCATGGTAGTCTCATTTCATGCCCAAACAGGACCTTTGCTGGTGTTTGTCCCGTTGATTCATTAACAGCGGATCTATATGTCATTGCGAAGAGCGAAAGATACTCATGCCAATTTCGCTAATGGTTGGAAACTACTTTTGACAGGTATTTACCAATGGACTTATTTATTCGCTCTGCCATTCCATCTGACTGGGTGCAATGCAGTAATTCTGGTTTTCTTCATGCCTAGTCTGTCACAGATTCTTCGGAAAAGCTGACTTTCAAAATTTCTGCCTTGGTCACTGTGAATCTCCAAAGGCACTCCAAATCTACTGATAAATTCTTTTATTAACACATCTGCCACAGTTGTTGCCTTTTGATTTGGAATGGCGTAGACTTCCACCCACTTCGTGAAATAAACCATACCCACCATCATGTATTTATTACCATCCTTGGTCATGGGGAATGGTCCAGCAATATCTAAGGCAATCCTTTTAAATGGACTACAGTTCCACTTCTAACACCAATGTAACGTTTGTTTAATTTATTTAAAACACTTTATTTACAATTTATTTAGAACGTACTAATTAATTTATATAATACTTAGGCACTTATAACTCTCATAATTCTAATTTTTTTATTACAATTTATCTTTTCTGTCCAACACTTAAATTGAATCTTCTCTATCGACAAAGTAGCGGCTATTTATATAAAAATGTAACGGCCCAGAAAGAACCAATTTTACTGGAAGAATTTCGAAGCTTTCGCGTCAACGGCATACCTAGAAGATTCCGGTTTCGACCATGAGTCGGGTGGTAGACTTCAAGGTCGCGCTCTAGATAGAGTCGGCTCAGGCGTTCTCATGACAATATTGAAAATTCCGATGCGTTGTTATAGCCCATTATTAAAAATATAATTTAACACAATAATTTTATTTACGTAGGTAGTTTATATCGCTTGCACGAACTGACCAAATATATTTAATAATCTTATATTTTCTATTCGTCTATTCGAAAATGCACAAATCTAAGTGATGTGTACTGATACATCTATACCTATTTCTTTCGACATTTTTTCGATAACGCAGTTAGTAATTTCATTTGCCTCTGTTCGAAGCATTTTGCCTTCCCTGCAAGATTCCATTTTGATTTACTTGCCAAGCCTGTTGAAAATTTAACGTTGTCATTTGCTATTTCAAAGCCTTACTACATATTTAAATATAATACAATTTAATTTTATGAATAAATAATATCGTTATTAAAATAAATATGATATCATGTTTTATTCAACGCTCCTATAATTGAAAGTTTATTTAGATAATGTTAAAGAAGCGTTGTGGAGTAAAATAAGATGTAGTTTCAAATATTAAGAAAGGTATGATGAGATGGTATGGGTATATAAAGAGGACAAACGAAAGGAGATAGACGAAACAAGTATACAAGATGTGGGTGAGAGAGTTGGAAAGTGTTGCCCTCAAAAAACATACTTTAATCAGATTAAGGACGTTTCTTACCAAAAGTCAGCTTAGGAATACGCTAATTAAGTAAATAAAAATTTACCTACCTATATAATAGTTTAGGTTTAAAAAATTTGGCGCTCAAAATACATTTCAGTCGTTGTACTGTTGATATTTGGCTCTATTGACTAATGAGTTGGCCGACCACTGCCCTAGATTAATTGGATAAGTTATCATTTTAGAGCTTAAGAGTAACATTTGGAGGAAACTAATAACTAAAACTCACTGACCTTATATTTATTATTTTTATATTTTTACTTAGTATTTAAAAAACCTACCTTGTGAAGTTTCAGTCTATGATTTGAATAAGCCTTATAAGAACACAGGTCACAATCAATAAATTTCTTTTTCTCGTTGTGTGTAGCCAACCCATGTTTTTTAAGATTTATTGAAGAAGTAAATGCATGACCACAAACATGGCAAACAAATGCTCTATCTCTTTCTGTGTGCATTCTTATCATATGCTTTGCAATGTATGCCTTATCAAGACATTTATATTCGCAGAGTGTGCATCCATATGGTAAGTTTTCTTTAGAAATCTGATGAACATCGGTGTGCCTTTTAAAAGAAGATCTACTACCAGTCTTAAAATCACAATATGTACAAATTAAAACCAATTTCTTCTTAATTGGTTTAGTCTCGTGGTGTGGTTTTTTGGTGTGTTTTATATAATTGGGTTTACAAGTAGTCTTGTAGTCACAATATTTACAAGAAAGAATTCCTGTCTTCTTAGTAGATCTATAACATATAAACATAAGGTATTTCACTATAAATAATAAATAAATAATTGTATCATAAAAAAAGACAGAATGTGTACCAAAGTAGAAAATTTCACTTATTCTGTATACATCAGTATATTTTATATTTATATTTTTTTATATTAATTGATTAGACTAATAATAAAGACAATCACAGTAATTGAGCCTAAAATATTATTCTTTTAAAAGTTATTAAGTTGATTTTTTTAATTTTAATTTATTATCGTCTGTATACTCGATAACTCATGAAGAAATGTAGAGGAAAACACCAAATTTTAAACTTAAGCTTTATTCCGGTCTGCAGTAAGCTGATTAGATTTTGGGTAGAGTCTGGGGGTACTATATAGGGCAGAGGTTCCCAAACTACACTCACCGGCACGAAAAACGGAGCAGTTGAATTTTTTTAAACAAACTTAAAATTTTAATGCTTTGTGATGTTTTATTATTATAATATCTTAAACATAAACAAAACAACATGTTTTAAGTATTTTCTAACAACAATTGAACCTTTATTTGAAGAAAAAAAGGGTTTTGTAACAATTTAAAAAACGAAGACGAAAAAGCATAAGTTGGTGTTGTTGCTAAATGACCTTAAATTAATCAAAACTGAAACGACTTGCTAGCAAAAACTGGGGAGCCGCATTTTTAATAACGTGTGTTGCCCCCACGTGCTCGAATAATAGCCTGCATCCTCCTTGGCATGCCTAAAATTAAGTGGCGAATGTCCTCTTGAGGAATATGTTCCCATTCCTCTAAATGAGCTTGTTGCAACTGATTTAAAGTTTAAGGAACACGACTTCGCATCCTTCGCCCAAGCATGTCCCAAACATGTTCAATTGGGTTCGCATCCGGGCTTAACGCTGGCCACTCCATAACAGGAATGTTTACATCGTTTAAGTACTGTTGAGTGATTCTCGCGATGTGAGGTCTGGCATTATCATGCATTACAAGAAAGTCATTTCCAATAAAGTCAATATAAGGGACAACAAAATCTTGGAGAATTTCATCAATGTACCTGGCAGCAGTTAAGGAGCCTCTCGGAAGGATGTACAATTCTGTGTGTGCCTCCATAGAAATTCCGGCCCACACAATAACTGAGCCTCCTTGGTAGCCTACCCTAGGACTGAAGGTACATTCTACGAAACGCTCTTGTGGTCTTTGCCATACTCTCTCACGACCATCTGGAGACCGCAGGCTAAATCTGGACTCATCCGTAAACAAAACGCGCCCCCATTCATTTTCACCCCAGTGCTCATGATTTCTGGCAAACTGAAATCGCGCAATACGATGACGCCTAAGAAGCTCTGGGCCTGTTGCAGGTCTACGACTGGTAAGATTGGCTTCTCCGAGTCTTCGTCTAACTGTCCGTTCGCTTATGTTGGTTTGCCGGACGTGATGAAGTCGATTTCTGATTTCAACAGCCGTAGCATGACGATTTCGCAGACATTGTAAGATGATAAAGCGATCATCATGAGCGCTAGTTCTTCGTTGGGGACCAGTTCCAAGTCGTCTGGTATAAGCTCCAGTTTCCAAAAAACGTGTAAAAATACGGTGCACAGTGCTATTGGATATGTGATACTGTTGGGCAACATATCGCTCACTTCTTCCGTCTTGAAGCAACGCAACAATAGCAGCCGCTATTTCGGGATTAACAGCCATAATTTTGTAGGTGAAATAAACGCAGCACAACTTTAAAACGTGTTTCGATCTGTCAAATTTCTCAAAACAATGAAAACAACAGCATTGTTGGACATGGTTTCATAGCCAACTATGCACTTTGAAGTGATAAGTCCGTTCAATTTTTTATTTTTATTCAAAAACGCTTTTTTTTCTTCAAATAAAGGTTCAATTGTTGTTAGAAAATGCTTAAAACACGTTGTTTTGTTTATGTTTAAGATATTATAATAATAAAACATCACAAAGCATTAAAATTTTAAGTATGTTTAAAAAAATTCAACTGCTCCGTTTTTCGTGCCGGTGAGTGTATTTTGTTTCATAGACCACTTTCAAAATTTTGCTGGATCCGGTGGACTACATCACTACCAATTTCTAAATCTCGAAAAAAAAAAAAAAAGTGAAGATTAGATCTATGGAAACTTGCGTTGTGGCTGAGTTTTAACGACGAATTAACAGTTTTCGAAAAAAAATTTTTAGAAATGATTGCTTGATAGGGTTAATTATTTGATAATAAAGTCGACTAAACAAATTTTCAATTAAATTTTAATTGATTGTGCTGTGAGTGGATGTTAAAAAAGCAAAGTTGGTCAAACGAAAAAGTAACTCCATCCAACTTTACTTTTTTGAAATCTACAGTGACTCACAGCACAAGAACCAATCAATTCTCACACATTTTATTTAGAAAACGTCCCAATCGGAGTGGTAAAAAGACATATAATTAAAATTAAACACTTATAACGTAATGTAGTTTCTACAATGGTAATTACAAAAAAAAATATAATTTTAATGAGAGGTATGTACTTCATGGATTGACAGCAAATTATCAATATTTGTCTTGAGTTTTGTAAGGAATAACCGTAAATCTCCCCTTTCTGTGATATTCAATCTGCTCCTTTTTTTTTGTTAATAAGTTTGTAACGGCGCTAAAACTTTTTTCGACGAAATATGACGAGGGAAACGCTATCAGAAGCTTTTGCACAATTCCCCACAGTCAAGGATATTTTTCGGGTATTTCTGCCTGCAGCCAAAATTTTTGATACCCTCTTTTAAATGTCACTTTCAGCACCTCATTAGTGCTAAGCTCGAGTAGCTCCTCTTGTAATATCACATTCTCCACTTCCGTTTCATCAAATGGATTCATGATCCCTGGTGGTATTTCCATCGACAGAATATCTTCCAATCTGAATTTAAAATCATCATGCAGGGTAATCAAATGTTAAACGTATGTCTGAATATCTTCATCAAGGCATTCTACCTGCGACAAATTTGAAAACAGTGAAAATTCGCGCCGTCCAATATTTTCCTTCATAAATTTCAATTTACCAAGAAAAGCTGAAATTACATTCTCTGTTTTTATTAAATTGAGGCTGTTCCCTTGTAATTGTAAGTTGAGGTCATTAAATTTTTTGAACAAATCTGTCAAATACGCGATGTCTGCCTTAAAATTGAGTTTTTTTTTAATCAGGATCTTTACTTTCCAAAAACTCTAAAACTGAATCAAAAAGTAAATAAAATCTTGATAAACATGCACCTTTCGACAACCAGTGTACTTCGGTATGTAACAGCAATCGTTGGAAGTCTTCATCATTTTCATCGCACAATTGTGCAAATAAGCGCATATTCAATGCATTGCTTCTTATTTTGTTAACTGCACTAAACACAAATTGAAGCGATTGGTGCAATCTATCACTCAAATTTTTCGCTTCTAGATGTTGTCGGTGGATAACAGTGAATCGCAATTACCTCTGGTATAATTCTTTTAAGATGACTTATAAACCCACGATATCGCCCGACCATGGCAGGAGCTCCAGCTGTTACCACCGAAATAACGTTTGTCAATGGAATCGATTTTTCTTAAAAAAAAAATCACTCAAAACATTAAATATTGATTCACCTTTAGTGTCCGTCTTCAAAGTTTTCGCGAATAGTAACTCTTCATGAATTTCTTCGCCCATAACAAATCGAACATATGCCAATAATAATGCTTCATTGCCAGGTAAAGTTGACTCGTCCAGTTGAATAGAAAAATGAGTTGTTCGTAGATAATCACACAAGAAACTTTCAACATCAGAGCTCATTTCATCAATACGTCTTTGTACAGTATTGTTACTCAAAGTAATTCTTCTGAGTATTTCAAATGAAGATTTGTGCAGAACAGTTTTTAAAACCTCTTCAGCAGCAGGTAAAATTAACTGTTCTCCAATAGTGTGCGGTTTTCCAGATTTTGCGGTAAGTAATGAGATATTGTAAGAAGCCCGCAAACCATCATCGTTGCTTTTAGACGTTGAAGAGAACATACTGTGCACGGTGGGTCTCTTTTCAAATTTTTCCTTTATTGTTTGGAAATATTTCAAATCTTTACCTATTTTATCAGGAACCAGGATGACACCTTCTTAGATAATCTTCCAGCTTTGATGGTTTTATAGAGTCACTGTTCAAAACTTTGTTGCATAAAAGGCATGTGGGCAAACGTTTGTCTGCCTTTGATGGAAGAAAACCAAATTTTAAATATTCAACACTGTACTGACGATACTTCTTCTTAGATTCGGCCATGTTTTGTATCAATTGCCTACCTGTAAATGTGTAAGTAAATAAAAAAAAAACTTTGTTTTAGTAATCTTAAGGCGATTCGAGGATATGGCTATTTTAACATAATATGATTAATCAAATATTATAAATATTATGAAATAAACAAAGTTCCGGCTGCAAACTGTTTCTAATTATTAAAAGCAACAAATCGCTAATATCCATAATAGAGTTTTATGAAAACGGCTGAACTTATTTTAATGTGATATAAAATTATTATTTCATTTATTATATTTTAATAGGTATATTTCTGTAAATTTTATAGAAACTTTTAAACAATATTTTGATCAAAACTCCGCAATAATTAAATAAATTAGATAGGTAATAAAAATAAAATAGGGACGATAAGTTCAATCTTTCTCGGCTTAAAACTATATGCATATAACAAATAGGCAGGTAGGTACTTACTTTTCCGATACTGGCAATCACTGATATCGATTCACTTTTCTTTTCGAAATTTTGGAAACAAATTCAGTCACTGGCCAACACTAATATCGATTCACTTTTCTTTATGAAATTACAGAAACAAATGACCCAGACAACACACCAAATCCCAGAGATATCCACAGAATATCTTTTGTGGATATCCAATACATCCACAGGATATCAGAATTATCCCGTGGATCTAATATGGATATCCAAATGTCCGTCTATATCCAGAATATAGAAGAAATCCTATGGATATATCCAGCAAAATATCTAATGAGTATATCCAGA